TATATATATTTACTTCTTCATTTTGCAGGTAGAGAAACTGAGGTCTTGAGACGTGAACTAGAACCCAAGCACCTGTATTTCAAGGTTCACTTCCTTATTTTTGTGCCCATATTTTTCTGTGTGGATTTTGGAAAAGGTTTGCTGCGTTCTGACGCAAAAAAGAGAAAAAACACTGATATTACGAGTGGGATTCCAATGAATTAGTGAAGTTGTTTGAGGAATATCACCACCTTTCTATCTGCTTTTACAGTTTTATTGGCATATAATTTACATATCATATAATTCAATTGTTCACTCATATTGAGAATTATATATTCCTTACCACATAAATTTTATTTTTTAATTTACTTTTTGATCATTGTATTGGGAGTTCTTACAGATATCATAATATCCCACAGTTTAATCACATCAAGCAGTATTGTACAATTGCTACCACAGTCAATTTCAAAACATTTTCTTTCTTCTTGAATTCCTTGATATCAGCTCCCCTCTGCCCACTCCCTCCCCCACCATACCCCCACCACATCAATCTTAGAGCACCCACCCCATGGTTAAATCACCTTTAACAGGAGTGGTGCAGTCACAATCCCTTCTAGTGCTCCCTCCCCCCTCCTGCCTTCATTGTTTACTCCTGAAATCCCTTGCCACCTTTCTATGTTTAAGTCAATCCTTAAAAGTTCACTGCACATGTCTCTTCATGGACGCTGGATCTGGAAGACTGCCCCTCACACGGCTTTCTGTTGTTGGTGTTCCATTTTGCAGGCCTTCTAAAATCACTCTGCTAAGTCTAAGCATAAAGTCTAAGCAATGTCAAAGTCAAGAGTTACCACAAACAAAATATCACAAAAAAAACAACAACAACAAAAAAGCCCTCACATTTTGCCTTGCACACTTTGTACAAAGTACAGCAAGACATTACTGATGTCCATGAACCCCCTCCTCAGAAGAATGCAGAGGGGCGGGTCTGCTAAGAACACACAGGAGCAAACTATGAGGGAAAGAGAGAGAGAGAGAACCACATCTTGGCCCACCAAGCCCCGAAGACGATATTATTCCTGCTGGGAGCAGCCAATGCACAGAGGACCGTAGGGCCAGCCCCACCAAGAGGCATAGCGTCCCTCACTGACCCATAGCGCTACTCAGAGGGACAACACTGAAGACACAGTGCAGGAATTGTGCCGGGTTTGAACCCCCAATATCAGGGCAAAACATGAAGGAAGAGCAACAGAGCAGCAAAGGGAGCAAAGCAATGAAGTTCCCAAGGAATTACAAAAATAGAATTTGGGGGCAGGGCTTGACACCTCATCAGACTCCATCAGAAAACATTCATAAAGGTCAACAGACAGACCTGGAACTATTTATAGGCTTTTTTTTTTTCTTCTATCATGTCTATCTATATAAAATAGGCAGGATAATCAATCCTGAGGAGAAAACAATGGGATTAATGGTTCCTGGAGGGAGTACATGGGAGAGGAGGAGGTGGGGGAAGGGGAGCCAACAAACCCAGGGACAAAGGAACAACAAGGGATCTAATTTAAAATCTATGGCGAAGCGGGTGTAGAATGCCTGGTGGGGTTTGATCAAGTGCAATGTAGCTAAGAGGAAAATTAGTGAGAGCCAAATGAAGATTGAACATGATAGTGGGACCAGAGGAAAATAAAAGGAAATAGAAGAAAGAATTAGGATGCAAAGGACATTTATAGAGGTATAAATATAGGCATGTACATATGTAAATATATTTTATTTATAACGATAGGAATATAGGTCTATGTACATCTATTTATATGTTAAGTATTAAGGTACTTGGGCCTCTACTCAAGTACTCCCTCGAGGCAAGAACACTTTGTTCTAATAGCCTGGCATTCTATGATGCTCACCTTCCCAACAGGATTGCTAAAGACAAAATAGGTGCATAAGCAAATGTGGTGAAGAAAACTGATGGTGTCTGGCTACCAAAAGACATAGCATCTGGGGTCTTAACGGCTTGAAGATAAACAATCAGCCATCTAGCTGAGAAGCAACAAAGCCCACATGGCAGAATATCAGCTGTGTGATCATGAGGTGTTGACAGGATCAAGGCATCAGGAGACCCAAAACACCAAAACAATCATATCAATGCGAATGAGGTGGGGGCAGGGTGGAGACTCAAAGCCCATCTGTAGACAATTGGACATCCTGTCAACAGAAGGGTCACAAGGAAGGGATGAGCCAGCCAAGTTGCAGAAGAGCACTGAGGAAGCATACAATATTCCTCTAGTTCTTTAATACTTTCTCTCCTCCGTTATCATGACCCCAGTTCTACCTTACAAATCTGGCTAGGCCAGAGCATGTACACTGGTGCAGATAAGAGCTCTGGACACACAGAATCCAGGAACAATAATGGGAGTAGTGATACCATGAGGGTAGGGGGAAGGTAGGGGGAGAAAGGAGGAACTGATCACAATGATTGATTTATTGACACACACACCCCACCCAGTGGCTAATAACAGAAACATTGGTGAAGGGAGACAGTGGATGGTGTACGATATGAAAATCATAATAATTTTTAATTTATCAAGGGTTCATGAGGGTGGGAGGGTGGAGGAGGGAGGAAAAAAATGAGGAGCTTATTCCAAGGGCTCAAATAGAAAGAAAATGTTTTGAAAGTAATGCTAGTAACATGTACAAACATGCTTGACACAATGGATGCATGGATTGTTGTAAGAGCTATAAGAGCCCCAATAAAATTATTTATCAAAATGTTTTTAATTAAAAATTTTAAAAAGAGCAAACAACAAAAAAAGAAATTACTGATGTCACACACAACCACGGATACCCTTGTTTGGATCCAGTTTATTGCATGTTAATATTAGTCTTTTAAAAATATATAATTTTAATACCTTTATTGATATACAATTCACATGCCATATAATTCAATGCTTTAAATATATTTAAAAGGTGTTGTGCAATCATCACTACAATCAATTTTACAACACTTTCTCCTTGCTTGTGCTCATTATTACTGGTTCCCCATTTCCCTCCAGCCTCTCCTGTTATAACCCTAAAAAACTATTCATCCAGCTACTGTCTCTATAGAGTTACCTAGGCTGGATTTCATAGACAGAGAAGCCTAAAGAATAAAACTCCAACAGCAATAACAAAGTAAAACACAGAAAAACCCCAAACCAAAAGAAAGCAGAAAATAATAAAAACTAGAACAAATTTAAAATGAACCAGAAGGCAGAATAAATAATAAGGTGTTGAGTTTTAGCCTAACTACCCTGTAGGGTCACATCAACTTGATGGCAGTGAATTTTCTTTTCTTTTTACCCTGGCTTTTCTTTTTAGCATTGCCAGGCAGCGAATTATATATATATATAATATTTTGTGTGTGATTAATCACTATGCTTTATGTTTAATTAATATTTATATGTATCATATTTTGTGTGTGTGATTAATCACTATGCTTTATATTTAATTATGTTCAATTTGTAACAATGAAAATACATCCTGAATATCAGATATTTACATTATATATATTTTTATTGACAAAGCTTACTCATTCCAATATATCCCTTCTCTTCCCACACAGTTCCATTATTCAATCACATTGGGTGGGGCTATGCAATCATCAGTGCTATCAAGTCCCCTACCCCTTCACTTCCTGTACCCTTTGGGAACCATTACTCCTGTCACTGTCTCTGAAGGGTCATCTATCTTGATTACAATATACTGACTGATCTTAAACATACAAATGAACATACATAAATCTAACACGATTAATGAGGTATACTACATAAAGACCTTAATAGTAAGGGGAGGAAATCTTAAAGAACTACCGGATAGTTATGTAGTTCATCAGTGCCATTCCATACCCTGGATTTATCCTTCTGAGAGGGACTGTCCAATGGTCTTGCTGGGCATCCTGCATATCCTGAATATCTTGTATAGATAAACACCAAATAATAATAAAATAAAAGATTGAAAAAACAAAATATACAGGTAGTCACCAGTCTAATAGGGATCATGACATAGACAGCATTCTTGTCCGGAAGGGGCACATCCTATCAGTTCATGTTACTATTTCCAAAATAAGGGATGGAGCAAGAGGCCTAGTGCCCCCCACCTTAGACACTTTGGAAATTCCTCAAAATATTAAATATAGTTCCCATGTGATACAACAATTTCTCTCATAGGGCCCGACCCAAGACATAAGTAGACATAAACTTGTACATGAGTGTTCAGAGCAGCATTTGACATCACTGACAAAAAGTGAAATGACCTATGTTTCTATTTTAACAACCCATCGATTACTGAACGGTTAAACAGAATGTGGTACCTCCGTACAATGGATGATTGTTCAGTCATAAAAGGGATAAAGTATCACTGATACGTTGCAACATGGATGAACCTTGAAAACGTCCTAAAAGAAGCCATTCACAAAAGACTGTTAAATGATCTCTTATCTGAAATGTCTAGGATGGGCAAACCCATAGAAACAGAACGTAGATTTGGGGCTGCCAGGGACCGGAGGCAAAGGCTGGGAGGTGGTGGGCTAATGCGGTACAGGGAATCTTTTGTGGAGAACAAAAATGTCCCACCATTAGATCGTTCATACAACCCTGTGAATAAACTAGAAAACCTATTTTTTGCATATTTTAAGTGGTTAGATTGTACAAATACACGATATGTAGAGCATATCTTCATGAATAATCTGTTAAGCAAACAGTTGTTAAAACATATAATAAACATAACCCAAAGGGGGAACAAAGGTGCACCCGGTTCAGAAAGCAGAGGACACTGGGGAGGGGGAGGGCAGGGAGGCCAAGCCCAGAGAGCTCTGTGGTTGTCCAGAACCCCACCGTGGGTGGGGACAGAGGGTGAGGTTGGGGCTAAGCCTGAAGGGCAATCAAGTGCCCCCAAAATGTGGCTGTCTTTGAGGGTTGCCAAGGGCCAGCCTCTGGATGTTATCTGAGGGAAGTCTCAGAACGTTGAGGGGCAGATTCTGTGAGGTCACTCCCTCTCCTTTGTGACACAGGCACTGGACCGCAGGGAAAACAGCCCCTGAGGAATGGGGCCTTTAGCTCCCAATGGGGCGGCGCCAGGGTCGCCGCCCCTTGGACAAAGTCTCAGTCTCCCAGAAGCTTTGTACCTGCTGTCCCCACTGTTACTGCTAGCTACTCTGCTCCTCCCGCTGCTGCTGGGCGTGATAAGCCATTTCTGCAACGCCCCGGCTTAGAGGACACCAGTGTTGGGGGCAGCAGGAGCCAGGGCAGCCCGTGCGGCAGGGAACCAGCATGCTGGCGGGATCTGCGAAACAGGTGGAGCACAGGAGACCTCTGCCTGGCTGAAAGAGGACGGAGTGCAAAGCTCAGATACAAATTTGGACCAGACTGAGGCGTTTGGGGTGGCGGACCCCGAGGGAAGATGGGGCTGGAGCTCAGGGTGGCAGCTATTCTCTCTCACAGGGACCCTCACTGCGGACAAGCCTCGTAAAGCCCAGCCCAGGGGAATCCTGATTGGTAAGAGCTCAGGGCACTGAGCACCTCCACTCCGCCTCCATCACCACCCCTTCCTCCAAGGCCACTCCCCTCACCCTTTTCCCTGGTCTCACCTTCCTGAAAGGTGGGGGGCGGGGGCAGGGCAGAGAGAGATCCACAAGGAAAAATCAGGGTCACTATGAGTCCTTCCAACTCCAAAGAGAGAAGAAATAGCCCTGGAGCCGAGGTCGAGAGAATCATAGATCTAGTCAGAAGGAGCCACTGAATCATATATCTAGTCAGAAGGAGCCACTGGCTAGGTCCGTTCTAGCCAAAGGCAAGAGTCTCAACAGCCTAACCAGGCAGAGACCCTTGTAATCTTGATGGTGCTCGATGGAACTCCTGCCTTGGGCAGTTGACCTCCCTGCAGACAGGAACTGAATTTGTGCTGGGAACAAGTATCTCTTGTTCCATGACAGAAATTTCCTCCCTGCCCTTCTGAATGTTGATGGGGCTCTTTTCCTTCTTATGTGTTATTCGTACTTTTGTCTTTATACTATTATGATTGTAGCCTTACCACCTTAGTATGATTTTTCCATTGTTTTCTGGTGGGTTTTCCCAGCTGTGAAGCACAGGAGGGGTGGATGCATAATGAGAATAACTGACACAAAGGTTGATAGGGGATCCCGGGGTGGGGAGTGGGGGTGTGATAGGGAGGGAAAGGGGTCTGGGAGTAAATAATAATGAAGGCAGTAGCAGGAAGGGAGCACTAGAATGGCTTGTGATTCCACAACTCATGTTAAAGGGGATTCATCCACTGGGTGTGTATGTGGGGGGGTGATGTGGTGGTGACTATTCCATGCCCATTGATATGTTTGAACTATTGAACTACTGTGTGATACGCAAATTATGTGCCAATAAAACTGTTGGGACAAAATTTTAAAATATTTGGCAGTTCTAAAAATAAAGACTATCATCGATCCCAGACTGTGCTACCAGCAGAGCTTAGAGAGAACTCCCTCCACATCTCTCATTGGTGGAAGGGAAAACCAGGTCCAAATCTGCCGCTGTTCAATCAAGAGTAACTCCTGGCAATCCTGCGGGTTTTCCAGTCCAACTACACCCACTCTGCAGTTTTCAGTGGCTGTAACATGACAGGGCAGAGGCACAGGGCTTTCTACTCCCGTGAAAAGTTACAGGCTTGGAAAGAACTCAAAGGGGCAGTTCTACCTGTCCTCGAGGGTCACTGTGGTTTGGTATCCACTATTTGGCCGTGAGTTCAGTTTTGTTGGTTTGTTTGTTTGGAGTAATTCCATAGATGCTTTCTTGCACAGTGCCATAGGTGGTTCCGAATTGCCAACCTTTGGTGTCCAGTTGAGTGCAAACCATTTGCATCATCCAGTGACCCTGACACCCTGGTAGTGAGAGTCAGCTGTCCAGAGAGTGGACTTGGAGGGAGCCAAGAAGGAAGAAGAGAGGGGCCAGTTCTCCCAATAGCTTGTGTTCTGTCTTTTTCTCTCTCTAGAGTCTGGGATCTGTGCCATCCTCCTCTTCATTGCTGCTGCCCCATCAGCTCCCAAGAGGCAGTTCTGACCCTCCATCCCTGAGCCTCCTTCCTCAAGGACCGACTACAAAGATATGAGAGACCTCCCTTAGCCTCACCCTCCTTCCCACCTGCTGTCCAGAGAGCCTGCTGCCCCTTTGGCTGTAAGGCCAGGTGTCCCCTGGTCGGCCCCAGGCTGGAGCTGCATCCCGCTCTCTGGAGGCCCTGATTACTCAGGATTCTACAATCCTGGTCCTGCTCTGCGGGTCTCCAATCCTCTGGTCCTTTTGCCTAAGTCCCTTCTGGATTCAAGGCGATGTTGCCTCAAAACAAGGACCAGGTGCTGCTGCAGAACACAGTGTCCCCTGGGCTCTCCTCTCAGGGTGCCTCACAACTTGTGGACGCTCTTCCGCTCAACCAACAGCCTCTTTCCCCCTGCCCATCACTTCCTTCTTCCCACTCACCTTTCCCCTCTTCCTCCCAATCCCCTGTCCTCCTCTGCCCAGCCACCCTGCTCCACCCTCTAGACCCACTTCTCTGTTCTTCAGACTCTAATTTTGACTCCACCCCATATCTCTACTCTCCCTCTGACCCAGCATCCCCCACTTTCTTCTACCAGAACCACCTCCCTCTCTTCCTTCCACAGTCCCCCTCCTCTCCTTACCTGCTCTCCACCTCTCCCTCTCAGCTGCAGAACTCCTCCCCACCCAACTCACCTCCTTTCCCTCCCTCTCCCCAAGGACCCCCCAGCTCCACGCTCACTTCCCCCATCCCCAGCCTCCCTTCTGGGCTTCACTCTTCCAGACAGCCAGGGCACTCGTCTCAGTACAGGGGCTCCGGGTCCTCTGGAGTGGAGGGGGGATGCGTGGCCAGAGAGAGGGACCCTGCAGAGCTCAAGGACCTGGGGGCCCTGGCCCGGGCCCTGGTGCTGCACCTGGGCCACCGCCGCATCTCCCACGACCTGCGACTACAGTTTCTACAGCAGCTGTGGCTCGGCACAACCGGGCAAGCGCCAGTCGTGGAGTATCCGGTATGCCTGGTGTGCCTCCGGCCCCGAAGTCCCTCCTGCCCTATCCCCAAGTACAGGACTGGGGCCCACCTGCTGGCTTTTCCCCAACTACTGCCCAGGGCACCAGGCCAGGAGGCCGGGCGGCTCCGCATAGGCATCGGCTTCGGCCTCCGCCTCCCGAGGGGCCAGGCCAGGGCCCTGCATCTGTTGCCAGAAAGAAGGCCGAAGGAAGCAGGACCTCAGGGCGAGACTGCTCAGGGCCCTGCATGCCAAGCCCAGGAAACGCCAGCACCAGTGGCTCAGGCCTGGGCAGGTCCAGCACCAGGCACAGGACCCCAGACAGGGAGCCTCAGGCCACCAGGCCCTCCAAACACCAACTGCAGCTCAAGGGCTCCCCTGCAGGAACCAAGACAGGCCACTGCTTCACCCAAACCGTTCTCCACCCCAAAGAGGTCTGTCTGTTCAGAACCCATTCCCCCAAAGTCATCGTGGCAGAGCCAAGGAAGATCCCAGGAGGACATTCTCCAAACACGGCTCTTCCCCCCAGGCCCCAGATCTCTGGGGGGCCCCGGGACACCCTGAAGGGCTGGCTGGCTGGAGGTCAGGTGTGTGCTCCATCTCTGAACCCTGGGAGTCCCTTGTGGAGTCTGCTGTCTCCTGGCTGAGGAGACCCAAGGACACTGGAGACCCCATCCAGTCTTCAGTGTATCCAATAAAGCCAGACTCTGCACAACTTCCATTGTGTCTTTCTAAGCAAGCTGTGGGTGGGTGTGCTGCAGGGTGCCACTCCCCCCAGCGCAAAGGAAACGGCCTGAGAGAATGTGTATCATATACCCGCGGAGGACAAGCCCCACAGAGCTGAGCACCTGAGATGTGTGCTCTCCCAGGCCCTTCATAGGCTCACTTCAGCTCGGAGATGTGAGGTCCAGCATCGCTACCCAGACGGGCTGAGAAGCAGCTGTGGCAATTGAGGGAAAATAAAGAGACAAAGCTTGCAGGGTGCTCACCTTTCCAGGAACAAGAGAAAAAGAGCAAATGCATTTTCCAATGGGTTTATATAGTGTTTGAAATAATTTTATTGGGGGCTCCTAACATCACAATCCATACATACATCCATTGTGCCAAGCACATTTGTACATATGTTGCCATCATTTTCAAAGCATTTTCTTTCTACTTCAGCCCTTGATATCAGCTCATTTTTCTCCTCCCCCCACCCTCCCACATGAACCGTAGAAAAATTATAAAAAATTTAAAAAATCATTGGGGGCTTGTACAACTCGTATCACAATCCATCCATCCATTGTGTCAAGCACACTTGTACATTTGTTGCCAGCATCATTCTCAAAACATTTTTCTACTTGAGTCCTTGGTATCAGCTCATTTTTCCTCTCGCTCCCTCCCTCCCTTCCGAACCCTTGATACTTTATGAGTTATTATTTTTCCATGTCTTACACTGTCCGATTTCTCCATTCACCCACTTTTCTGTCATTCATCCCTGGGTTTATGTCATTTGGGGGCATACAAGCCCATCAATCCCATAGGCAACAAGGTGGGCTGTGTCTTACTCTTAGATGTCTCTGAGCTTATTGGGGGAGTAACCTAAGACCAGTTTGGGAGCAGGTGTGGGGCGGAGGGATGGGTGGGGTGGACTGCCCTTTGAGTAAGAACAGTAGAACTTGTTTGGGGAGATAGGTAGCACTTCAGCCGCCTAGAGAGCAGCTGTGCGCTTGTAAGAGGCATCTTTAAAGTAGCGCCATGATGGGGGTGATTGTGGGGATCAATTTTAGTCAGGAGTGTGATGTGGGAGTCACTTCTATCTCACAAATGTGAAGACCTTCCTCCACCGGAGCCAGCCTTCCAGACTCTTCATTAAGTGTAAGGAACCTAGCCACATACATTCTCTTCCTGATCCTCGGTTTCCCACAGGAGGGACCTACAGTGTGGGCAGAGCTGAAACCACTGGACCCACGCCTTTGGGTGGCCCTCAGGGATGCCTGCTGGGACTGACCAGGCCCAGGAGTAGGGATGTCTCCCTGCAGGGAAAGGCATTGCTGGCATCCACTGGTCCTCAGGAGACAAGAAACCCAAGTAGTCGGGTGGGGTGGGGTGGGGTGTCAGAGAAAATGCCTCTTCAGAGCCCTGTTACCTCCTCAATCCCTGCCCTCAGAGCTCGGTGCCGAAGGCTGGCAGCTTCCAGCCAAAAACTTGCTCAGAGGCAGGAGCTCTCAAGAACCAGGGGGAGAGGAGGCCCAAAAAAAGGAATGGATGCTAACAATGGATGATGGGTGTTCAGACTGCGCTTCCTCATAGGAAGCAGCGGACATGGGATTTGAAGGTCGGTTGGCTGGATTTATAGTCCTTACTGCCTCCAGGAAGAGTCAAGGGCCTGAATCATGCATCTGGTTCATGACCTTGGACAAAGCATTTTAACTTTTGGGTTAAAATGCAAAGGCTGTGCTTGTATGAGTCAGTAGATTACTCTTAGAGTGAAAACAGCCCTAACTCAAGGATTTATTTTTAAGCGTCAGTTCATACATGCATGAGTTTCTCTCACTGCCGCGAGTCAATGCTGACTGATAGTGACCCCCCTGTGATTTCTAAGACTAACTGTTTACAGGAGCAGAAAGCCAGTCGTTCTCCCTGGGAGCTGCTGGACAGGAAGGGGTGGTACACCTAGGTGGGCATTACACATGGATTAGCCCATCTAGGCCAGGTGAATGTGAATCAGCCAATGGGGTTGATCAGTATTGTTGACCACGCCTTCCAGCGGCCCCTGAAAGCCAAAGGTTTTGCTTCCACACAGTTCAGCGTGGCCTGGCTACACAGTCCAACGCAGTCGTGTGCAACCCGCCAACCAGGCCTCGGACTCTGTCTGGCTTGTATTCCATTTACTGTAAAACCTGAAACTGCTTGGTTCATAAAACTCACTTGGATCACAAACCAGGCTTCAGCCTGAATTCTTTTTCGTGATGTAAGATAGCAGTGACCCCATAGCAGGCTGGGCCTCCCGGAGTGGGCCTAAGTTTCCGTTTCCCCCAAACTGACCCTGCATTTCCCCGAAGTGACGCTGATTGCAACTGAAATCAACCAATCAGGAGCCAACACCATCAGCCTTTACTGTCTCAAGGCTGGAGCCGAACCAATAGGATCAGCTGTCATGAAAGAAGCCAATCAACCTGAGGAGAGGGTGGGGGAGGGGCTACCTAGCTCATGGAACCTGTGGAAAAGTATAAAAATTCAGCCCTTACAAGGGACGGGGTCCTTGTCCTTGGTGGCCACTGCGTTGGCATGCTGGGACTCGGGCCCTAGCTTGGGTTGTCAATAAACTCCTTTGTTCTTTGCAGCCTCAGTGAGTCCGCCTCTCTGTTACTGGAGCCAAAGGAATAGCCGGCAGTAACATTTTGGGGGCTCGCCCAGGATCCCGAGACACCCCCCAACCCCCGAACGGAAATCCGGACCCGAGGAGGAGTTGGACTTCTGATAAATCTGCTCGGTGCAGATATTTGGGCCCCTGAAGGTGACCAGCAGAAGGCCTAAGTGGATGCGCTGGAGGGTCGCTGGTCGGGAGTGAAGGGAGATGGCCCTCACTCCCTCAGTAGGTTTCCGGCGCGATCCTCGAGGGACCTTTTGGAAGGGAAACCAGGTTGGTCGCAGGGCCAAGGATTAGGGAAGTGTTAAACGTTTTGTCATTGTCTCCGTTTCGTATTATTGTCTCCGTTTTTTGGTTTGTCGCTGGCACTGTTGGTCTTTGTTTGTTTTAACTTCTACCTTTTCAGAAATGGGACAGACTCAGACGATGCCTCTGTCTATTCTCCTAGACCATTTTAAGGAGGTCAGGGATTGGGCTCAAAACCTTTCGGTAGAAGTAAAAAAGGGAAAGTTTATTGTTTTTTGTGAGTCTGAGTGGCCGACCTTCGGGGTGGGATGGCCCCGCGATGGTACATTTGACCTTAACGTCATCTTTAAGGTAAAAGAAATTATTTTTAATAAAAGGCCACATGGCCACCCGGATCAGATCCCATACATCATAGTCTGGCAGGACCTGGTCCAAAATCCCCCGCCCTGGTTAAGAAAGATTCTGCCTCCATCAGGACTCAGCAGAATTATGGTGGCGAAGGGAAACAAGAAGGAAAAAGAATCGAAACCAGGACCCACCGATAGTGGCCCCTCTAAATCAGCCCCTGTCCTCCCGGATTCTACTCCATATCCTGACCTGATAGATTTGGAGTGGAATTCGCCCCCTCCCTATAACCCTGCATCAGTGTCAGGCTCCGCTGGGCCACCTCCTCCAGAGGACGGCCTGGCGTACGGGACTTGGCAACGAACTAGCAGGACTCCAGAGACCCGGAGCCAGTGGCAGCTTTTCCCTTACGCACCATAGGGCCTCCCTGGGCAGATGGGGAACAAGCTTACCAATATTGGCCATTTTCCAATAGTGATTTGTATAACTGGAAGTCACAAAACGCCAATTTTTCAGATAATCCTAAAGACTTAATTAACCTTTTAGATTCTGTTCTATTCACTTACCAGCCCACTTGGGATGATTGCCAGCAATTACTAAAAGTTCTTTTCACCACGGCAGAAAGGGAAAGGATACAAGGGGAGGCACGGAAGTTGATTCTGGGAGACGATGGCAGACCCACGACCAATCCAGGAATCATAGACCGGGCATTTACACTCGAGCGACCTACCTGGGACTATAACGAGGCTGAAGGTTGACGGAGTGGCGACCTGGATTCACCACTCCCACGTACGATCTACCAGCAAGGACGGAGCGGGAGCAACAGCAGGACCGGTGGAAGGCATCGTCCAACCCAGAGAATCCGCTGAAGACCAAACTGACTCGCATAACCACCAGACCACGGCCAGACCCATGATGAGGACGCCTGGAGCAGGGACGTTTGTGATTACCCTTACATCTATAACCCTGGTAGGAAAAGTGAAAACTGACTCAAATCCTCACATGCCATACAACCTGACCTGGGAAATCACTAATTTAGAGATCCATAAAGTTTATAATAGGACCTCGAGATCGGCCCCGGTAAATACCTGGTGGCCGGACCTGTATTTTAACTTAGAAAAAATTAGCCCTCTAGAAGAAATGGAAGGGGGGTTGTGGAGGAAGCCGCAGACAGGTATCTATGAGTCAGAATGGGTTTTATGCATGTCCAGGGTTTAGAACCGGGGAGATGAGGCGTACATGTGGGGGAATTGAGTCTCTTTACTGTGCAGCTTGGAAACGTGTCACCACCAACGATGGAGAATGGAAATGGCAGGTAAAATCTCTCTTCATTGAGATGTCTTATGTCCAGCCACGTTCACGGACCAGGTATGCTCCTGACTATAATCTAATATGTGTAACATTCACTGAGGAGGGCAGAAAGGACACACGGTGGGTTTCTGGACTATCCTGGGGAGTATATCTTTATCAACACCCATTATTTGGCACTATAATAAAACTTAAAACTAAAAATGTCTCCTGTCGCAGGTGTTGTAGGACCAAATCCAGTATTGGGAGGGGGACAATGCCACCCTCGCCTAACTGTTGCCCCATCCTTAGCCTCAAGGACCCTGGTAGCAGAAACGGGAACTCAAATAGCCCCTACAGTACATGAGCTAGGAGATCCACTATGGAAGATGTTAACAGCAGCATATGAAGCACTAAATCACTAAATCGCTGTTGCACCAAGGCCAAAACGGGTGGCTACGGAGGCCCAGTGTTACGGAGGCCTGTTGGTTATGCTATGACATCAGACCCCTGTTTTATGAAGCAGTAGGAATAGCTGTCCCCTTTAACCTGTCAAACGCTGAGGTCCCTGGATCCTGCACATGGGACTGTAAAGGCCCAAGACTGACACTCCACACAGTCACTGGGAATGGAACCTATACAGGAAGAGTGCCTTCCAGCCATGCTCAATTCTGTGCTGAAGTCCTCCTGTCTACAAACCAGAGTCGTGGGATAAAATGGATAGTTCGGTGCTCAATGGGTGGTGGGTATGCTCTAAAACCAGAATGACTCCATGCCTTAGCCTGTCTGTTTTTAATGAATCAGTAGAGTTCTGCATCATGGTGTTAGTGTTCCCAAAGGCTATTTATCACCAAGAAAAAGTGATGCATGGACAAGGGGCGTAGAACATACCAGGTTGGCCAGGGGAAGACGAGAACCCTTCACGGCGATAACCCTAGCCACCCTTTTTGGCCTTGGTGCAACAGGAGCAGGAACCGGTATCTCATCCCTAGCTGTACAGCACAGGGGATTTAATAGCCTGCGGACGGCCAGAGATGACGTTATAGCCGGAACTGAAGAGTCCATTTCCCATTTAGAAAAGTCACTGTCGGAGGCGGTGCTACAGAATTGCAGCAGACTAGACCTAGTATTCCTCCAGCAGGGAGGGCTGTGTGCGGCTCTGGGGGAAGAATGTAGCGTTTATGCTGACCATGCTGGAGTAGTAAGGGGATCCATGGCTAAAGTCGGAAGGATTGGCGAGGCGGAGGCGAGAACGTGAGCGGAAGGAGGGATGGTTTGAATCATGGTTCAATAACTCCCCTTGGCTAACCACCTTGCTAGGACCTCTAACTGTGCTCCTGCTCATTCTCACTTGCGGACCACGTCTTTTAAACAAATTACTTTCTAAAGGAACGAGTCAATACAGTCCAGTTGATGGTACTATAGCAGCAGCAGTACCACAGGCTGAACCCTGATTCCTGTTTTATAATGGAAGAAGTGTAGAACTCCATGGACGAGCAAGAGTGCTCGCAAGAACAAGAAAAAGGGAAGAATGGTAAGATAGCAGTGACCCCATAGCAGGCTGGGGCTCCCGGAGTGGGCCTAAGTTTCCGTTTCCCCCAAACTGACCCTGCATTTCCCCAAAGTGACGCTGACTGCAACTGAAATCAACCAATCAGGAGCCGACACGATCAGCCTTTACTGTCTCAAGGCTGGAGCCGAACCAACACGATCAGCTGTCATGAAAGAAGCCAATCAACCTGAGGGGAGGGTGGGGGAGGGGCTACCCAGCTCACGGAACCTGTGGAAAAGTATAAAAATTCAGCCGTTACCGGGGTCCTTGTCCTTGGTGGCCATTGCGTTGATACGCCGGGACTCGGGCCCTAGCTTGGGCTGTCAATAAACTCCTTTGATCTTTGCAGCCTCGGTGACTCCGCCTCTCCGTTCCTGGGGCCAAAGGAATGGGCGGCTGTAACAGCGAGAAGCCAGGGACGGAGGTCGAAGTCGCCCAATTGCCAGGCACACAGCTCAACACATAACACTACCCCACCAGGGCTCCAAGCGGGTCGATGCCTGCAGACAAGTCCTCCCAGTAACAACTCTTGTCTTGTCGCAGGCCCTTTTAAAGACAGCGGCTTCTGAGGGGCTCTGCTAGGTCAGTTATTACATGCAAGGCCCAGGTTCACGGCGCACAAGATGGCGGCCTCCAAACTGGGCTCGCGACCGCACTGTCCGACCAACGGTTCCTTCATCAACTTCCGGGCAAGTCCAAGGTTAGTACGGAGACTGGAAAATGGTGCAAGACGTGAGGAGACGGGAAACGGCCTGTGCGTGCGTGCGCAGGTGAGAGACTAAGCAGACGAAGACATGGCCGCCCTCCCACCGGAAGCAGGAAGTGCTGCGTCATGACGTCACGCAGCGGCGCTGGCGGCTCAGTGGCCTTCCGCAGCGGAGCTGACAGGCCGGCAAGAAGAGACTTTTCTACTCGCCAAACGCCTCGTGGCCGCAGAGTGCCTGCCGTGAAGCAGCCCGCTAGTTACTTGTGAAGTTCACGTGAAGACCCGGGGCGTGCCACCCTGTCTGCGACACCTGGCTCTCGAGAGGAGGACCTGGCTTGTTTGGGGCCCAGTAGGTGAAACACGAACGTGCCGTGCGTTGTACAAGCAGCGACACAAGAAACACCTTGCCTGGGTGGGCAAAGTCAAGGCAGAGGTCAGCTCAGGGGGTTATGGAGACTCTTTTTGGACATTCTAAAGGGGTCATTGTGATAGATTTTTCTCAGAGGACACAGGGCGATTGTGAGGGTTTAGTAGGAAGGAATTTTTTTTTAAACATTTTATTAGGGGCTCATACAACTGTTATCGCAATCCATACACACATCAATTGTGTAAAGCGCATTTGTACATCGTTTCTCAAAACATTTTCTCTCCACTTAAACCCCCGACATCAGGTCCTCATTTTCCACCTCCCTCCCCGCTCCCCCCTCCCGCATGAGCCCTTGATAGTTTATAAATGGGTATTTTGTCATATCTTGCCCTGTCCGGCGTCTCCCTTCACCCACTTTTCGGTTGTCTGGCCCCCAGGGAGGAGGTCACACATAGTTCCATGTAATCGGTTCCCTCTTTCCTGCCCATTCTCCCTTTACCCTCCCTGTTTCGCCACTCACACCACTGGTCCTATAGGGCTCATCCGTCCTGGATTCCCTGTATTTTCAGTTCCTATCTGTACCAGTGTACCTAGGAAGCAATTTTAAGAACATGAAAAACGACAGTGGTGAGAAAAAGGCCAGAAAAGTCGGACCAAGGCATTATTATTCGCGTCCCAAAGCCCCTGTCTGGGTGCACTGGTGAAGCCCTCCCAGCCGACCATGTCCCGGGGCAGGCGTGTAAGTGGTGCTCAAGTAGACCGCTCCTCGGGGTGGGCACGTTGCGAGCGGAGGCAACCTGGTTCCACCGAGCAGCCCAGAGACAGAGCCTGCGTGGCAGGAATCCTCAGGTCCAGTGCAGCAAGCACTAGAGATGGCAGCGGAGCTGTTTATTGCCAGAGGTCGGCCTCGCCCTTCCACCCTTGATCTGCTCAGCCGTGATTTCGAAGCCCAAAGCCTGCCCCCTCCTCTGAGTGACAGCCAATAGAGATAGCACCCCAAATGCCAGCAACTTCGTCCCCATAGCCTTCCAGGAGCCACCAAGATGGGAGGCGACTGTTAGTGTCCGGAAAAGCCAAGGGTTTCTTTATGAAAGGTCCGTTAGCCGTTCTTAGAAGTCCCTGGGTGGTGCAAAAATTTAACCAGCTAGTAACCCTCAGGAGGAGCCCTGGCGGCGTGGCGATTGGGCTGTGATCCTCAAGGTCAGCACTTGGAAACCACCACCCGCTCCGCGGGAGGAGTGAGTCTGGCAACCCCACAGGGGCAGGTCTACCCTGGGCTATAGCGTCGCTAGGAGTCGGAACGGACTCAATGGCAGTGAGGACGTAACCTGAACATTGTTCAACCGAGGCAGGCCTGGCAAGGGGCTTCGGAAAGGTGGCGGGCAGCAGATTCCACTCTTCCGGCAGCAACTGCTGATCTTCATTAGCCCCAACCCCCTTTGTCCCTAATCCCCGCCAAGGGGCGTTCCCCCGGCGGCGCGCACCTCCCGTGCCCCGCACAAAGATGGCGGAGCGACGCCCGTCTGACGTCACCGCGTCCGGGCAGTGCTGACGCGTATTGGAGGCTGTGCACTTGCGCGGAGGGAGCCCTGGGCTCCGGGGTCAAGCGGCCCGGAGCTAGTGCCCGGCTGTCCGGCGAGCGCGTAGGCTGCTGCCGGGCGCGCCGAGCGAGAGGAACGCGGTCTTCCGGGAGTACCAGGGCCGGATCCGGCGGCGGCCGGGCGAGGCATGTCCCCGGGGCCGCGCGGCGAGCCGTGAAGAGCGCCGGGCGGGATGGGCCGGCGCCGGGCGCCAGAGCTGTACCGGGCCCCGTTCCCGTTGTACGCGCTCCAGGTGGACGCCGGCGCGGGGCTGCTCATCGCTGCGGGCGGAGGGGGCGCCGCCAAGACTGGCATCAAGAATGGCGTGGTGAGAGCGCGCGAACGGCGATGTCGGAGGGGGACGGGTGGGGGGTGCGGGGTCGAGCCGCAGCTCAGCTTCTGGCCCCGCAACCCGCCGCGGGGCTTCGTCCGGCGGCTGAGAGACCCCGAAGGAGAAGCGAAAGCCGGGCGTAAAGTACGCAGCGGCGGGCGGGGTCTTGCCACTTCCCGGGGAGGCCCCCGGGACGTGTTTGTCTGCCTACATGCATCCGCGAGTGGGGCACAGCTTCCTCTTCTGAGGTCGTGCCCACCCCCAGTCTGTCTGTTATTGGAGGGACTTCTCCCCGCTCTGGCAGCTGCGCAGCTTCGCGAGGCCCAAAGAGAATAGGACCCTAGAAAAGCCGGGTGGGCGAGGCAGTGCGTTAAGCGCAGTGGTCAGGCTTCAGCCGGCGGCGATGGCAGCGGGCCGGTGAGGGAGGTGTTCTCTAGGTACCCCTGAACCCGGTCCATCCCGGCTTCCTCTCTCAGCACTTCCTGCGGCTAGAACGGATTCATGGGCGCCTGAGCGCCTCCTTGCTACACACGCATGACACAGAGACGCGGGCCACCATGAACCTGGCCCTGGCTGGTGACATCCTTGCTGCAGGGCAGGACGCCCACTGTCAGCTCCTGCGCTTCCAGACCCATCAGCAGCAAGGCAGCAGCAAGGCAGAGAAGGCAGGTGAGGAGCAGCCCCTTCTCCGGTGGGGAGGGTTTTGGTCACGGAGAAGAGGAAAAGCCCTTGGCCTCTGTCCAGGGGGCTGGGAGTGGCACTGGGGCAGCAGGCTGGAAGCCGGGTGTCTGTCTGACAACAGTTAGTGCTCCTGGGGCCTAGCATCTCGTGTGTGTCTCAGCAGGTTCCAAGGACCAGGGACCGCGGCAGAGGAAGGGAGCAGCCCCTGCCGAGCAGAAACCGGCAGTGGAGACCCAGCGGGAGGGGGTGGAACTCCGGGTGGAGAATCTGCAGGCAGTGCAGACAGACTTCAGCACTGAGCCTCTGCAGAAAGTGGTGTGCTTCAGCCATGACAACACCCTGCTTGCCACGGGAGGCACGGATGGCTACATTAGGGTCTGGAAGGTGGGCCGTTGTTGAAAATTCATTTGGGATTTTGGAGGGGTGGGAAGGGGTAGTCTGGTGAATGAGTATCCCCATAGTGGCAAGGGCCAGAGGGGGAGAGATGGGATGGGGGTTCTGAGAAGTGTGTGGGGTGATGTCTGCCAGAGTGGCTGTGGGGAGATAAGGCGTGGCCTTGCTTGGGGGGGCAGGGCTAACCAGAGCAGTGCTTTGGCTGCAGGTACCTAGCCTAAAGAAAGTTCTGGAGTTCAAAGCCCACGAGGGGGACATTGAAGACCTGGCTTTGGGGCCTGATGGCAAGGTGAGAAGGTAGAGGGGCGGAGGAAGTAGGCGGCTATACTGCTCTTCCTGGAAGTGGATCCCCTAACTGCCCGTCCTTGAAATCTTTGCTCCTGATTAGTTGGTGTCTGTGGGCTGGGATCTTAAGGCCTCTGTGTGGCAGAAGGACCAGCTGGTGACACAGCTGCACTGGCAAGAGAACGGACCCACCTTTTCCAACACACCTTACCGCTACCAGGCCTGCAGGTGTGAAGACCCCAGAGGGTGGCTCCAAGAGGCGCAGCCCAGATGTGGTGGGGGACTGGGCAAGCTGGGTATGGTGGTGGCTTTGGTGGGTGGTGACACCACCTGGAACTGACTAGCTTCTCTCTGGACCCCAGGTTCGGGCAGGTTCCAGACCAGCCCACTAGGCTGCGACTCTTCACTGTACAGATTCCCCACAAGCGCCTGCGCCAGCCTCCACCCTGTTACCTCACAGCCTGGGATGGTTCTACCTTCTTGCCCCTTCAGACCAAGCCCTGTGGCCACGAAGTCATCTCTTGCCTCAGTGTCAGGTGTGGGACAGGTCTGGCTGGGGAGCAAGGGGTAGGGCCTGCCTGTGTCCCTCAGGACCGCGGGTGGTGAGCGAGGCTCTGGGGGCAGGCCTCCAGGACAGTCTGCACTTGTTTGTTGCAGTGAGTCCGGCACCTTCCTGGGCCTGGGCACGGTCACTGGCTCTGTTGCCATCTATATTGCCTTCTCTCTCCAGGTAAGGGGTAGAAGAGGGCACAGCCCTGAGGGTTCGTGGAGTGGGTTCTCTCTCCACTAGCCTCTCTGTCCAGAGTGGGCAGAGTGGCATCTGGCCCGCCCTATGGAGGGAAAGCTGTCTGGGGGCCGGGGGGCCGCTTTCCAGTGGGAAGAAGCCTCCCAGCTGGGCCTTCCCTCACCAGCTCTCTTCCCGCCCACCTGCAGCGCCTCTACTATGTGCGGGAGGCCCACGGCATTGTGGTGACTGATGTGGCCTTCCTCCCGGAGAAGGGGCGTGGCCCGGAGCTCCTTGGCACCCACGAAACGGCCCTGTTCTCTGTGGCTGTGGACAGTCGTTGCCAACTGCACCTGCTGCCATCTCGACGTAAGTGCGGTTCCCCCCCAAAAAACCTGTCCCCTGGAGAAAGGCAGACATCTCCCCCTCCTTAGCTGGCCCAGGCACAGTGGCTGCAAAGCCCTTTGTCAGTTGACTTCTCTCCTCCCCTCTCTGCAGGGAGCGTCCCCGTGTGGCTGCTGCTGCTGCTCTGTGTTGGGCTCATTGTTGTGACCATCCTGCTGCTCCAGAGCGCCTTCCCGGGCTTCCTCTAGCTCCTCCTCCCCTGAGGTCACGGGCCTCGCCCCCGGCTACACAGGTGTGGAGGCGTGGGCCCCACTGGGCACTCCATTTCGGGTCCCAGTCGAGGCTGCCCCTGCTGAGGCTGCCGGGCCCTGGGAGCCCTACAGCCCTCGCCTGTGCACTCACGGAGGACAGTGGCATCTGAAGCCCCAGACACACCACCTGCCTTGTTCCCTCTGCCTTCCGAGACTTCCGACTTGAGCTTGTCCTATCTCCAGAAGTATGTGAAGAAGCCCAAGACCCTGCGGAAGCAGCTATCCTTCCTGAAGAAGTCCCCCATTTCTCCTCCTTCTCTTCCCCCTCCCAGCCTAATGGCCAGTGGCTCTTCTCGTGGAGACCCTGGTGTCTGCTGGGGAAGGAAAAACCAGGAGGGATCCAGGGCTTGCACTGCATGGTTCTAAGCCAGCCAGGCCAGATATGCAGTAAGTTCCTGGGGAGTCTGCCCGGCCTTGGAGAAGGGGAGAAGGAACCTGAGCCCATTGGGCGGACAACATTATTTAATAAAAAAGAGCAGACTGAACGGAGACCCTGCATAGCACCCCTGTCAGTTCTCACCCCTCTCCTAAGGCAGGCGAGTCCCGAGGCCAAGCAGCTCCCCGGGGTGTTGAAAGACGGCCCTGGCATACTAATGCAAGAGGCGACTCAGGTAGCTGTGCTGCCGGGGGAACAGCCCCTCCAGGAAGCCAATGTGCCCCCCTTGAGCAGGGCAACATAGGGCGAGTGCTGGGCAGCCTGAAGGGGGAAGGCTGGTGGAGGGGCCAGGGGAAGTCAGGCTCCCTGACCTGCACCTCAAGGTCCATGGCCCCTGGGGCTTCCACATCAAGGGTTAGGGTACTCACTTTTGGCTGCGGAGAAGGGGTCGTCAGCTGCATTGAGGCAGAGCACAGGGACCCGGATGGCGTCGGCCTTGGTACTTGGGCTCATTGCTTGGTAGTAGGCATCGCAGTGTCGATAGCCAAAGGCCACAGATGTGTAGCGCTCGTCAAACTGCGAATGGTGCGGGCCTTGGGGGTTGGTGGGGGAGGTGAGAGGGAGGATGAAGAGGGAAATCCTGAAGGTGGGGGGGGGTGCGGTGTGTGAAAGACTGTACCTTTAGCACAAAGTCTACATCCACAATCTTCTCAATCACTTTCCTATTTCTGCAAAAGGGCAGACAGGTTTGAAGCTGGAAGGCATTCCCGTCTACTTCCACAAGCCCTCTGCCCTCCCCTGGTACTCCTCATGGGCCTGAACCCCGGCCTAGGCCTCACGCTAGTGCGAGTGCCCAGCTAGAGAACTCGCCTGCGCACTGGGACGAACCTGGCATGCCTGCCACCGCACCCTGTCTGCTGCCCCATCCCCTCCTGCCAAGACCATACCGGCTCACAAGTTGACAGAGTCTGACAGTGATGAGCTGATTGAAGAGCAGCAATTGAGTGGCCTCTCCAGGGAGCGAATCGCCTCAAAGGAACCAGCCCGGCCAGGTAGCTCAGCACCAGTATCCTGCAGGAGCAGAGCAGGGGCCAGGAAAAGTTGGGGCAGGTGGGGATGGGGAGGACACTGGTGGGTGGGGGTGAAACCCAGGTGACCTTTACCCTCCGAGAGAGAAGCCCACGGCTAACAGTGGCGCCTTGGAGTGGTGGTGCTTTATGTGGCTCACAGCAGTCTCCACATCGTCAGTGTTGCTGCCACAAAAGATCCTGTGAGTCTGAGGGCAAACAGGGTCATCAGAGAGGGTCCGGCCACAAGGCTAAGCTCAAGTGTGGGAAGAGATGAGAGAGTGAGCCCCACGGCCCAGTGTCTATTAGGGGTGGGTGGGTAAAGCGCTGTTTCATCCACAGGAGGCGGTGACTTACCAGCAGTTCTTCCCCGCAGCAGCCCCGGTTATTGAATATGACGGCCCTGAGGGGCACAGATACAGGTTAGCCATTCCCTAGATGTCCCCCTCCCCCCTTAGCTATCTCCAGAAAGTCTCATCAAACCAAAACACACCCTTCATAGCACTCCTGGATGTCTGGGGTGGTTTCTCCTTCCGACACTAGGCCCAGCCTTACCTATAGCCATCCCTCAAAGCTTGCTTGACCAAGTGCAGGATGTACACCTCCTGGCTACTTCCCGTGATGCCAGGAAGCAGTAAGACAATGGGTTGGGTGGCAGGGTCAGGGTACTGACGGCTGTCCCGCTGGTCAGCCCAATGGAGCAGGAGCTGCCCTCCATCCGGGGTTTGGAGGGTTTCACTGTGATTTTGGAGAGAGGGCACACGGCGACACTTAGGAATGTGGAGGGCTTCACAAGGTTTTAGCTCCAGGCGAACCCACCACCAAGTCAGACAACTTCACGCAGCATCCTTCGAGGGCATGCTTGATGACGAGCAAGGCTCCCACAAGGTGGGGCAGGGACACACACGGACGTTCCTCGTGGTTGTGCCATGACAGCCTTTCCTCAACACTGAGCTGAGGCATGCGGGGCAAAGGTGCCCTGCAGTTAAACCTGGGCGGGCAGGCAGGGGTTCCCTACTTCCCTGCAGGCCGCTTCATGATCACGCCCCTGTCCCTTCATACCTCCAGTAAGAGACGAGGGGCCGAGCGAACTAAGATTCCAAAGATGGTTTGTAGCCTCCCCTCAAAGCACCACAGTGTAGGGCAGAATGTCTCCACAGTGACTGGACAATGTCGCTCCAGGAGGGCCAGAAACGGCCCCGCCACCAGCCGAGGCTTCTGAAATCAAAACAGCCTGCCCTCATGCCCCTGGTTTTGCACAAGCCAGGGAGGCACTTCCAGCTTGGTCTGTGGGTGAGCTAATTGGTCAAGAATGGCAATGTATAGTCTGGTGAGAGCCCCCAAAAGCCCAGTCCTAAGCTGTCTGTCCACCTCCAGAATTGGCTGTACATGGACTTGGAACAAGATGAGGATCTTCTGCCCTTGATGGGTGCTGGCTGCCCTGGGGGCAGATTAACCAGTGCACTCAGCATACAAGAGCTTAATTGTTCATTACTAATCACCAGTGCATAATTTCACATCAGAGATGCAGCCAGAAACAGGTGAAATTGTGCACCACAGATCAGTGAGTAGGCACAAACAAGCCTGTGAGAACCTTGTTTCATGGGTAGCCTGTCCCTTTCTGCTCACTCAGCCCCAACCCCGTGAAGAGAGGCAGCAATCCAGGTAGAAAATGTGTCCAGTGGGGAGGGTGGGCTGGAGTTCCTCTAGGGAACTTAAGTCTGTGGCCTTTGCCTTAGTCACACCCTGTCATCTCGAGACCAGCCAGTTTCCAGGGTGTGGGGGAGACAAGCCTTTCTACTCCTTACTCCTGTAAAGAGTTAGTCTTGGAAACTCTCAGGGGCAGTTCCACCCCGCCCGACGGTCACTAAGTCAGAAGTGACTTGGTGGCAGTGAGGTCTGGTCAACCTCTGAAGAACTAGCTCTGACCATTCTGACTTCCGGCCTTAGTGCCGGTTGCCTGCACATGGTCTTTCTCCCACAGCCACTCATTTTGTCCTGTGGACTTAGACTCACTGCCATCGAGTGACCCTGTAGGACAGAACTGCCCTTCTGAGTATCCGGAACTGTCACTCTTCACGGGAGTAAAAAGCCCCATCTACACATAACCACTATGAGGAATAATCCTAACATGAACAGATCTCCACTTCTTCGTGCCACCCAAGGGGAAGCGCAGGAATGGGAAGACAGGGACAGGTGAGGTCAGTGGGCACTCAGCCCTTTCAGTTCCTCTGGATGGACATGTGGTGGGCAGATGGGCCTAGCTATTTAGAAGGCTGGGGGAGAGGGTACTGTACCAAGCTCAACCAGGGAAGCGACATTTCTGGAGCAGGCCCAAAGGACCTTGTAGGTCAGATTCCCATTTCCTCCAAAGTCCCGATACTCAGAGGAAGCTAGGAAAATTATAAATTAGAAAGGCTAAATTGATAGTGTGGTTTTTTGAGATGACTTGCACCATTGTTGGTAAGCACTGGGATGTAAGCTATGATTCACTATGTGATAGGATACTTTATAAGTAAACAAACGACTCAAAGTGGTTTTCACAAAATCCTAACCAGTAAGATCGATAATTATAAGGCTACCGCTGATACGAGCAGGTAGAATGTGTTGGTTGCTCACCATGTGCCATGCAGGGTGCCAAGGGCTTTACAGGATTTTAATTCGTGAGCTTCCCAACAGCTTTCTGGAATAAGTACTAGGCCCTGCCTGTGGGAAGAGGTTTGTGTGTTGAATAACTTATCACAAAGCTATTGAGTGGCAGACCAGGGAACTCGAGAGCCTGTGCCCTTAATGGTACTATATTGCCTACTTATTAATAATCTTAGTTGTCAAAATCTTGAGTTATTACCAGCTTGTTAAACCCGTGGCCCAACAGTTCAGTAATCTAGAACAAGATGCTAGGAAGTTGGTTCCCAGGTTGATCTGTATAGGTTTGTTATATTTGAACTCTGGCAGAGTTTCCTGACCAGCTCTTGAGAACCAGATAATCAAAGGTCGCTGTGCACAAGGCTGAGCCACTCTCTCGCCTGTGCTGGATAATCCAGTCCTCAGAACCTCCAGCATGGCACTTGGCCTGCGTTTTAAACAGTGTTTGGACATTAGAGAAGGGTTTGGAAATATAAAGAGTGTGACTGGTTGCAAGCAAAGAAAAATGTTTAGTTAAGAGCCATACCAGTGAAAATTTGTGACTAGGCCTCACAGACAGATGGCCTTTTTTTTTTTTTTAATCATTTTATTGGGGGCTCGTACAACTCATCACGATCCATACATCCATCCATTGTGTCAAGCACATTTGTACATTTGTTGCCATCATCATTCTCAAAACATTTGCTTTCAAGACAGGTGGCTTTAATGACCTTCCAAATAAAACATTAGGTGAGGTTTATGGGATATTGTGAAGTTTAGGGGCTTTAATTGTTTTACCCAGGAAAACTGATTTTATAAGCAATATAACTGAATGCCCTGGTGTGTACTGATTATGAGTTAGGCTGCTAACTGCAAAGTCAGCAGTTCAAAACCACCAATGGCTCCCAGGGAGAAAGATGAGGCTTCAACTCCCATAAAGAGTTATAGTCTTGGAAACTCACGGGCAGTTCTACCCTGTCCTATAGGAAGGCTACCAGCCAACAACTCACCATCTACTCGATGGTAGGGAGGGTTTGGTTTTTTGGGGTGGGGGTTATATGCTAATGCAGAAGGTTTTGAAAACACAAAAATGGTCTAGACATTTAAAATTCCCTATCAATCTTTTGGAGGCCCTGGATAGAGCAAAGGGTTAGCAAGCTCATCTGATTAATTAGATAATAAATTGGAGGTTGGAGTCTACCCAGAGTCCTGGCAAATTGCTCCCCCAACATCAGCCATTAAAACTGCTTGGAGCACAGTTCTGCTCTGACACACAGGGTCACCCGAGTTGGGATCAATCCCACAGCAACTCACTTCTGGTTTATAGCTCAAAAGAAGAATTTGCATCAGCAGGTTTCCTACCTAGTGCAGAGCTTAATGACAGTGAAAAGATTTTGGTCTTTTTCCTGGCTATGCAAATTATGTATTCTATCGCACTTTCCCTAAGAATCATAGGGACCCCATAGGTCACACTAGAAGTGCCCCTGTGGTTTTCTGAGGCTGTATGTACATCTTCACTGGAGCAGAAAGCCTGTAGATGGCAGAATCTACTCCATGGCAGCCAGTGAGGGTTTTGTTTGTTTTTCCGGTCGGAATAAATCTCCAAGTTCATCTAAAAACAACTTAAGATTTCCTTACTGCACAATTCCAGGAGAGTCTAGAACTTGAAACAGAACTGAAGGACAAAGAACGGCTAGGGTTCTTCAAGCCCAAGCTCGAAAGGAAGCCGCAAGCCAGTCTCTAAAGGAAGGGAGGCCCTACTAGGCCTCCTTGGTCACCCGTCTGCTAGTGTTGGTTGTAACCCACAAGCGCACCCGCCTCCATTCCAACATTCGGTGCAGCGACTGAGGACCAACAGCCTGACAAGGACGGAGGAGGGGAAGGCATTGCTCTGCTCGTGCACATCTCCCTGACACCCGAGAACGCCTTCCACCCTGCCTTCCCTAGAACGAATGTCACATCAAAAAGAGCAGCACCCCTCCTAGGTCCGAAAGGACAGCTGGCATGGGAAGAATTTGGGCAGACACAGAAGCGACTTTTTCATTATTCAGTAATCACAGCAACGTGTAGCCTGGATGTCGCACAGGGTAGGGGGCTCAGCCATCCCAACTCCCGCAAAGGGCTCGCGCCCCGAGCTAGAAGCGGTGCCCCGGACTCCAGTATCCCACACCCATTGGCCAGAGCGCTGTGCCCGCACGCACCTGGGGCACACAGGCCCAGTGGTAGCCCAGGTAGAAGACGGCGCCAAGACCCAAAAGCTGAAAGAAGAGCTCAGTCCAAGAGCCATTCTGGGGGCTCAGGGAGGAACTCAACATCTTCTCTGGCTGGATGCGGACGCCCGGCCTCTAGGCTAGTTCTGACCGCTGGCTTTCGCCCGGTCGCCCGCAGCAGGTACGCGCCGCGTGCGCCGCTCGCACGCCATAGGTCGGCCAGTGCTCGCCTCTCAGTGCCGCAGCCGGCAGGCGTGCGCCCCGCCCACCGCCCGTGCGCCGGGTCTGGGCTGGCGGCGCTGGGACCTTACGGAGCCGGGAACCGCCTCCCCCGCCCCCAACCGTGCCCGGCGCCACGCTAACGCGAACGACCTGCACAGGAGAACCTCCCCGAGCCCGCGCCGGCCTGTCCTTTTACTTTCCTCGGTTACAAGTGGTGCAGCTCCTTCCAAGGGCAAGCTGCCACCCCCACAGTCGCCATGTTGGCCAGGGGCACCTCCTGTTCCTTCTTCCTCCAGCTCTTGCGCGGCGGCCACTCGCAGTCGACAGTCACACACGGACACACTCATCCCGGTTAAGCTATGCTCCCCTGACGCACAGTATGACCATTCTCCGTGACCTTGCCGTCGAGGACACAGCCGCTGGCATGGGGACACCCTGCGGTCTCACACAATGTCCTTCCACCCAAAGTGACCCTCGCCCTGGGGACATAACCATTCACACGATGGCACTCCAGACGATCACCTACGCAGTGGCTGCCGTGCCACACGCCTTAACACACACACTGGTACTCAGTGTCACCTTACCACAGTTCCAGCCACGCACTCATCCCAAACTCACTCTTCACCAGGGACCTGGGATCCTGTTCTCAGGATGGAGCCAAACCAATCAATAACCCGAGAGCAGGGCTTCCACCGTGGCTGCAGATTAGAATCAGAGTTTGAAAAGGTCACACCACTGACCACCCCCACTTGTTAGTTTTCTCGGATGGGAAGGACCTCCGTTCTTGGCTTCACACGAGAAAGAATTCATGCCGAAGCCTGGTTTGTGATCCAAGTGGGTTTTTATAAAGGATGTTATGTTTTAGGTTTTATGGTCAGGGAACGTGGGCATCCTCGTGGGACTGTGCACCCACACGTGGTAGCCTGAGGCCAAAGAGACTGCTACCGGGCTGAGCTGGCACAGGACAAGAGCCAAAGGGAAAGAAGGGCAGGGGGTCTCAAGGTCAAGGTATTTGAGGTGTGGTTGGAGGTATTGGTTGACCCCATTGGCTGAATTAAGCCCACCTGGGCCTAGTTTGGGTGGCCCAGGTGTACCGTCCACCTGGCTTGGGCTTGAATTGGAGCATGCCCAGTAGTCTTTATGGCTGGCCATGGGCTCGCCTGATTCTCTTCCAACCTCCTGTAGGGGGCTTCAGGCATGGAGAAGGACAACCCCTCTATCCTAACACTAGGCTGCACAGTATTGGTGAGGAGAGGACCCTTTTGCTTGGATTTCGGTTCACAGCAACCCTCTGTGACAGAGTAGAGGGACTCTTGGTGGAGATTCCTGGTCATGGGGCTGGTCATTTCCTGGTCATTTCCAAGTCCTTCTCCAGCAGAACGGCTAGCGAGGTTCAAACCACTGACCTCGCTGCGAACCAGTGCACCTCCAGGACTCAAAAACTCTCTAGGAAACCTTGATGTGTCGTCAGGGTTGACCCCAAAGGTAGAAACAACCTCAATGCCCATCAACAGATGAATGGATAAACATAATGGGGTACATACGTGCCAATGGCATGCTACTCCGTCAGTGGGAGAAATGAAGTCTTGACGGAGTAGGGATGGAGCTTGAAGACGTTATGCTGAGTGAAAGAAGCCAGCCACAAAAGGACAAACACTGTATGACCACACTTATCTAAAAAGACAAGAAAAGCCAAACGGACAGAGACCAAGGCAGTGCTTACCAGGGGAGGGGAAAAGGGGGCTAGAGGAAGGCGACTGGGGATGGTGAAAAGGACATGGAGGGAGGGAGGGCAGAGCTGTATAACCGATGAGTGTAACTGCGGCCTTAAGCGGTGTGATGTTTTTATAACAACGATGGTCACTGCCGAGGCTGCTTGTGTAGGGTCATGTTTTCATGGGACACCCCAGTTAACACACTGAAAACATGTTTAGTATTTCTGTTCTCCCTCCTAGTCCTTCTTTGCTTACTTCCTAAAAGCTTTTGTAAATAACCAGTCAAGGCACAACACTTGGTGCCTATCATCGCCAAATCAGAAGTTCGGAAGCTCCCAGCTGCTCCACAGGAGAAAGATGACGATTTCTGCTCTTAACAAGAGCCAGTCTCAGAAACCCACGGGGACAGTTCCACTTTATCCAATAGGTCACGATGAGTCAGCACGGACTCAAGGACGGTGAGTTTTCATCTGGAGCCGCAGAGGAAGAATAAGAGGGCTGGAATGTGCGGCCACCTGCCGTCATGAACAGCCAAGTCCATTGCTCTGAGACCCGAAGAGCTGAGTGGTCTCTGACTACCAGGACTGAACATTTTGATCAAAGAAGAATCCTGCTCCAAAGGGGGAAATGTGAAGGAGAATTTCCAATTCTCTGGACTGTAAACACTCTGGAATCATGGAAGGTGGATATAAATCTTTAAACCTTAAATTGAAAGATACCCCCTGAGGTCATCTTAAAATTGATCAATCATTTAGTTTAACTAGCCAAGAAAAGTCTACCTGGAGCATTATATTCTTTTATTTTTATTAAATACTTTTATCAGGGGCTCTTACATCTCTTACCACAATCCATACATGCATCCAGTGTGTCAAGCACATTTGCACATATGCCGCCATCATTATTTTCACAGCATTCTCTTCCCACTTGAGCCCGATATCAGCTCTCCATTTCATCCCCCTCGCTCCCCCGCCTGCCATCCCTTGCAAACCCTTAATAAGTTGTAGATTATTATTTTCATATCTTACATCATCCTCCGTCACCCGTCACCCACTTGTTTTTCCCCCTGGGAGGGGGTTCTAAGTTGATCCTTGTGATCAATTCCCATTTTCTCCCCCCACCCTTCCCTAATCCTCCTGGTATCTCTACTCTCCTTGTTGGCCCTTTTTCTTTTTGCTTTTTTAGAGCAACTATATGAGCTTTATTATTGATACTAAATAAATAAGAAAGGAGTATCACATAAATAGGAAAATAAATCACACTTTGCCTGATAGTTTTCACTTTAAGCTCATGACCTATAAGCAACACAGCTCTTCCTCCAGTGTTTTCCTGCAAACAAGCTGAGCTCCTTGGAGCTGTGTAGGCTGGTTCCTTACTGAATCGATAACTCTTGTGCTCGTAGATAAGCACAGGAGCCACACCAGACTGGTTCTTGGTTGGTTATTGTTAAGTGCTACCCAGTCCTGCATCCTCCTCCCCATTGTTCTGATGTTTGAGCTCATCGTCGCAGCCCTGGTGTGAGTCCATCTGAACATTATGTTCTTATAGACGGAATCAACCAACAGCAGCAACTGGAGGGATTAGGTGTGACCCTTAGGGGGCAGGGCGCTGATGTTCATGAGAGACAACAACTTGGGAAAGGAGAGTGAGAAGGGAGGGATGCACCACTCCAAAACTAGAATCAAGGTTGTGGAATGGTCCGTGTCAGACTGTTGAATTGGTCTGTGTTTTGCTATGTCTCTTTTATTTATTTATTTTGCTATGGCTATTCTCAATAAGAACAACACAATCAATAAGATTTAGAAAAAGGAAGAGGGAAGGCGGGAGACAGGATCGATGAGCACTGGGTAATAATAGGTTGGAGGGGCTTCTGATTGCTCAGATGCAGGGATGGATGGCAGCCAGGGGAATCTAAGGAAGGGTGAGGTTTGAGGAGCTGGGGTGCTGGTAGGAAGCTCAATTCTCGAAGTGGTCTGGAGTTTGGAGAGTTTAATAGACATCAGCATTTAGATGGTGCTCACTCACTCACTGCTATTGACTCTATTGGGACTCATAGCGACCCTTTGATACAGAGTAGAATTGTCTCTGCCATGGCACACATGCCATGAACCTGTAACTATCACACATCTGCACAGTCAGACACATTTCCAAGACTAACTCTCAGTGGGGTTAGCAAGCTTCATCTCTCTCTCCCGGAGAGTGGCTGGTGGTTTTGAACTGTTGACCTTGAGATTAGCAGCCCAATGCACAACTACACCACTACCAGGGCTCCCAGATGGTGCTAGAAGCCACATAAACGGAAGGAAAGTGAGAAGTGGCTAGAGAGGGAGGAATGATGTTGCCCTAACCAATGGATATGGTGCCCTGAGGAGGCCACGGTCAGCCATGTCAACCACAGTTTAGTTGGTCCTTAAAATGGACCAGTAGGTTAGTGTATTGGTCTAATAATAGGAATGACTTTAATGAGAGTGGATTTGTCACTGTGGTGCTTGCTGAGGGGAAGAAACTGGTGGAGAGGGAGAAATGGAAAATTCTGGAAAGAAATTATTCAAAGAATGAAATCCCTGGGTCAGTGGACAAGGCTGTGGTCCTGAGCCCAAGTGAAGGGACTGGCCATTGTGACCACAGTAAGTGACACTCCGCTTTGACCACAAAGCAGCTTCAACCATGTGCAGTAACATTGTGATATTCTGTGCTGGCCTATGGCTGCCACATTTGGTGATTATTTTCTTCAGACTTTCCCCCCACCCCAGCCCTTTCTCTATGGAGACACTCCTGAGGTGTGTGGCTAAAGCCACCTGGTGACACCTTCACTGGGAACCAGTAGTCACAGCTCAGCAGGGCTGGAGCTTAGCAGACCACTCAGAAAGCATTCGCTCAGACACCCTTAACACGCATGCCATGAACCTGTAACTATCACACATCTGCACAGTCAGACACACATTATTGCACACTCTCCAGCCCACACTGCCACGCCGAATATGTCGCTGTTGTCATTGTTAGGTGCGGACCGACTGAGTCTGACCCCTAGCACCCCTGTGTACAACAGAACAAAACACCGCCCAGTCCTGCGCCGTCCTCACCAGGGTGGTTACGGATCAGCCCCTTGTGGCCGCCACGGTGTCAGTTCATCTCCTTGAATTTCTCTTCTGCCGCTCCTCTGCTTGACCA